CCTGCCCTCCACGGCCTGGGTGACCTGACCCATGTCCTTGCATCTCTGAGCCTCAGTTTCCCAGAAGGGCAAATGGAGAGAGAGAAGTGACTGCCTGCCTATGTGAGGGGGCGGAAGCCCCTCCATAGGACATGCGGGAAGGCACACGTGTGAGTTACCGCCATCTCGCTTGCCTGTCTCCAGGTCTGAGCCTCCCCTCTGCTCCTCCAGTTCCTTGCCAATGTGTGGTCCAACTCTGGGCCACCCCCCTAGGAAACCTCCCTGGACCACAGTAACCCCATGGATGCCAGGTCAGTACTGCAGTCTGTGCGGTTCAGCAGTCATGAGGCACACCTGGTTGTATTTATGTATCTGTTTATTTCAGAAAAAAGCATAGCAATTGGAGGCCAAAGGTTGAGTTGGAGTTCCTGCACCCCCACTGCTGTCTAGCTGAGATAGAGAGGCATCCTTCAGCCTCTCTCCAAGCCCCCAAGTTCCTCATTTCTGAGTGGAGATGGTTATAATCACGCCTACCTCCTGGACTTCTCACAGGCATGATGGGCTGCAGACATGCGAAAGTACTCTATGGACTATAAAAAGCACTTTGTCACGTTGCTTCTTTCTGTTTCTCGTTTGATGTAAGTTTCCTGTGAGAAAGACATGAGCCAGAGTGATGGAGCCGGGAGGATGCGGTACCAGGCAGGTGCATGGTGCGTCGTCCTTCTGGACCCCACATGAGGAGGCTCGTGTGTCCGGGTGGGAGCAGGCTAGGAATGCTGGCCTGCCGTGACTCAGATGGCCCACAGGAGTGCTGGCTGGGGGAGGCGGCAGTGGCAACCCTGTAGATTGATTTCCGGCCCCGGTCCCCGTCTAAAGACATCCAGATGGTTGCTTGACGATGTTACCCAGGAAGCCCGTTGCCAGACATGAAGGCTCTGAGAAGAAGTCCAAGGAGACACAACCAGAGGACACAAGAGGACACATCTGATGGTTGAAATGTTGAGTTGCCCAGAGCCCAGCTAGAAACCGTCAAAATACAAACACCCAGTGGTAAACAGAGCCACAGAGATCGGATTGTGAAATGGAGTGCCAGAAAATTCTGAATAATTGAATTATGAAAATTCTTTTTTCCTAAATGAAGGAGAGAGGCTGCGGTGGGGAGGAGGAGAGAGGGCTGGGCTGGGGGAGGATGTCTTCCCAGGGTCATGTCCGGGCTGGACTCAGCTCCATCCACTCTGTGTTTCCTGTGCCCAGCCAGAGGCAGGGTTCAGAGCAGCAGACATCAGTGAGACCTGGAGGGTCTCAAACACCGTGGCCAGATGTTGTTATCTTTAACGATGGGGAGCCATGGTGGGGGGGGCCACAGATATCAAGTCCAGATATTTGACCTTGAACTGTGGTGAAGAAGATTGACAGAATGGAGGGGAACTGACTGGATATTGTAGACGGAGGGTGAGGATGAGGCTTTGACAATGTGGGTAGCAAATAGGAGGAGTAGGCGTGGGATCGAAGAGGATGGGGTTTATGGAGTTGGGTGGCCTGGCCAGCTGGACATTCTCAGAGGAGTTTGGATAAACAGATTGGGGTTTGCAGTAAACATCTAGATCTGGAGTTTCAGGCTTGGGAGCTGTCTGAGGTTGGGTTTCTTAGAAGCAGACCCTGAGATGCAGATTTCTGTGCAAATGATTTATTAAGGAGGTGCTCCCACGGGAGCCTGGGAAGCAGTGGTGGGGGATGTAAGACAGCACAGGAGAAAGAATCAAGCAATAAAAAGTGTGGCCTCAGGCAGAGCCCCAGCAGCCTTCCCCTGAGGGGACTCTGGAGTGTACTTAGGTTTCTTGGCCTGAGGCTGGCATTAGAATGATTGTTTCTGAGAGTGGTGGTTTCTGCCGGTGTCAGCCAGCGGTTAGGGATTGTGGTAGCGACGGATGGGAAGGTTGCTTAGTGTCTAACTCTCTGCAAGTGCAGGGAAGCCTCCAGCAGGCCAAGGGCCGTCCTCCAAAAAGGGGCCAATAGCCAGTTGTTGAGCAGGAGAGCCTACCAAGTCCAGGTACGCAGAGTCGTCCCAGGGTTCCGCGCTGGGGAAGATGTATCATACTGTCTGCTCCCCGAGTCCACAGCAAGTTGACCGCCATCAAAGCTGGAGTGGATGGGTTGGCCCTGGAGAGGGCAGAACCAGAAGAGGAGAGCAGAGGGGGCCCTGGGCAGCACTACCTGTCCAAGCGCCTGGCTGGGAGGGGCCTTAAAACAAATTGTTTACTTGGCCGCGCTGGGTCATAGTTATGACACATGGGATCTTTGCTCTTCGTTGTGGCTTGCTGGATCTAGTTCCCTGGCCAGGAATCAAACGCGGGCCACCCTCTGCATTGAGAATTTGGATTCTTGGCCACTGGACCCCTGGAAGTCCCTGGGAGAAGACTTACAGTCCACCTCACCCAGTTTCCCATGGATGCCAGCAAGCAAGTGACTTCTTGTTGTTGTTTAGCTGCTAATCCATGTTGACTCTGCGACCCCATGGATTGTAGCCCACCAGGCTCCTCTGTCCATAGGATTTTTCAGGCAAGAATACTGGAGCAGGTTGCCATTCCCTTCTCCAGGGGCTCTTCCCAACTCAGGGACTGAACCCACATCTCCTGCATTGGCAGGCGGGTTCTTTACCACTGAGCCACCTGGGAAGCAACTCTACTCAAATGACTTCAGCAGGAAATGAAGTCGTTGACCCGTGTAGCTGGGAAGTCTAAGGGCGTGGCCAGAGTGGAAATTATGTGATCAGGTTTCTCTCTCTCCAACTTTTGACTGTGGCTCCCCTTGTGAGCTGGTCTCCCTCAGCGTCTGACAGCCCCAAACACTATCCTTCAACTTCTCAGTACAAAAGGAAGAAGGACAGTCTTCCTTGCAGCTGCCAAATATCAGATCTCAGAGAAGACCAGTTGTCCTGCTGGGGTCACTTGTCGATCCCTGACCCGGTTGTTCTGGGGCATCCTATCCTGAAAGTACCCACAGTGGGCACTGTCATCCACCCGGCATCATCCACTCCCAAATCTCTCTCTCCCTCCATTTCTCTGTGTATTTCACTCAGGCCCGAGTCACAAGACTACTTCTAGGAGAGGGGATTGGGAAGGATCAGCCCCTCCAAACCAGATGAAATGACTTTTCCATGGGAAAAAGTTTCAACTACAGCAAGAATCTGCATGTAATGCAGGAGACCCAGGTTTGACCCCTGGACTGGAAAGATCCCCTGGAGAAAGGAATGACTACCCACTCCAGTTTTCTTGCCTGGAGAATCCCGTGGACAGAGGAGCCTGGTGGGCTACAGTCCATGGGGTCATAAAGAGTTGGACATGACTGAGCGACTGACATGAAAGAAGAGGAGGGAAGTCTGGGCTGACGACCATGGACGTCCTCCCCACCTGTTGGGTGGCCACCTGGCCTCCCCTCGTGTTTCTGAGATGGGGATGCTCCCCTCCCCAAGGCCTCTCGGAAGGTCAGATGGATCCTAGGAAGGGGAATGGGGAACACAGAGGGCCTGCCCTGGAGAGATGGAGAGAAGAGGGACAGGCTTCGGCTAGGCGGCTGGAACCTGTTTGGGATCTGGCCCTGAGACAGGGGAAGAGGCAGAAGCAGGCCCTACATTGAAGCCCCAGGGGTCTGGCCTTGGGGTTTGGAGATGCTGCTCCTGAGACACTGGCTTGTGGGGCAGGTAGAAGAGCAGACACTCCCCATGTCGGGCTGAAAAGGGGGAGCTGGCAGGAGAAGCTGCCAGCTGCAGGGGCTGTTCCAGGAGTCAGGCAGGGGGACATAGCTAGCATCCAAGGCCAGGGAAGACTCGATGGTGGCCCTTGAACTCTGACCCTCCTGGTCGACATGATAAGGTTGGCCAGCACCTGGGGCACTAGGGTAGGAGTCAGTCCCCAGATGCTGGGGGTAAAGAGCATGCCATTCCTACAGGACAGAAAGTCCATTAGCAGTAGAAAGTAACACCACATTTTACAGCACTTATACTTAAAAAAAAAAAAGAGTTAAAAATAAAAGAAAGTAGATTAGTTGTTGCCCGGGGCTGGTGGGGGGCTGGGAGGGAGGCAGGGGATGATGGCTAAAGGATACGGGGTTCCTTTTAGAGGTGATGAAAAGATCCTAAAGTGGTTACACGTATCTGTCAGTATACTAAAGCCCATCGAATGGTACACTCTGAATAGGCGAGTTGCTGAGTATGTGAATTACATCTTAATAAAGCCTTTTTATTGTTGTTTTTAAGAGTGTTATTGGGACAGGTCACCAAACAGGAGAGCTTGGCCAGGAGACTGAGGCATAAGCCTCTCCTGTGGGTTGGCTGGGCCCCCATGGAGGAAGAGAGGCTGCTCTGGCCCACATGGTCCACAGAGTGTCCCCAGGCAGGTGAGAGCATAATGGAACCGCCTTCAGATGCCACCTTCTGTTGCTACTGCAGGGAGAACTCACCTGTCTGAGCTCCCACTTCCGTCACCTACTTATCTATACTAGCTCCTAAGGGCGGGGGGGCGCCCTCTCTCCTCTGTACCCCCTCAGCTCTGTAGTCAGGGAACCTTGGCAAATGCAAACGTATACTCCTGTCACCCCTTGAATGATAAGCGCATCTGACCTTCCTGCACATCCAGCCCCTTCTAACCGCTGCTAACTGACCTCTTTCCATCCTTTGAACTTGACATGGCCTCAGGGCCTTTGCATTTCCTGTTCTCAGGGGCCAAACCTCCTTTCTCCTCTTTCAGCCTAGGAAAACATGAGTAGCTCCTACCTCCCCTCCTGCAGACCACCTCACCCCACGCCCAAGTGTACATTCTTGCCTGTTTGGAATGTAAGCTCGCTGGGTCTGTGTGTGCTCACCCAACCCAGAACACCCCATAAAAATGTGTTCAATGAGCAAAAAATCTTCTCTCTGGCCTGGGAAGGCTGGAGCCTGCAAAGTGAGCCTCTGGGCCTCCTGGGTGTGAGCAGACAGGGCCAGCAGGTGAATCTTGTTCCCCAGTCATGTAACCTGATGAGTCCTAGGCCTTGGGGTCACGCATCTCTCTGTGGCCAGCACCCTGGAGGGGGTGCAGCCGCACGTTTGTTGAGCCGGGGCAGGCTGTCCTGAGACTGTGACGGGGCGAGTTGGAGCTGGAGGCTCCAAGGGTAAGTAGATGCTTTGGCCTGGAAAATCACATCACGAGCTCGAGGCTGGCCTCAGGACAAGGCAGGGAAATTGCTAAGGGCCTGGCGTTCCAAGAGGCGGCCTGTGCAAGAGGAGAGACTCATTCTTGGAAAGTCGAAACCCCCACGGGGGCTGCAGCGGGTCTTTGAGCTGCTGGCGCGCGCCATTCTGGCTTCAGGGCCAACCAGAGTGGTGAAAACAGGGTGACTGGAGAGTCTGGCCACCTCGCGGTGTCCTGTGTGGACAGGACGGTGAGGTCCAGGGGACCAGGGCCATCCTGCGAGGCCACAGCAAGCTGGAACACGGGTCCAGGTGCCCTGGCTCCCGGCCTGCCCTCTTTTCTTTCTGTCAGGCTGCCGCCGCCACTGCCTCTTCCAAGTGGGAAAATCCACGTGGCATTTCTTCTTGATTCTGGAAGGGATGATGCAGTGAGTGTGTGGATGCTCACAGAGCTTCATGTCTTAAGCGGATTTCCCTTCCCGAGCATCCTTGGGTAGTAGTAGTGGGCTTCTCCAAAGCATCTCCACTCTGCATCCCTATAGGCTACTTTCACCTGTTTGCTTTATTGGTTTTTGAGACTTTTTTATTTAGAAATAATTTAAAACTTACAGAAAAGCTGAAAGAAGTACAAGAAACTCACCTGCAATATGTATTTTTTAAACCTGGAGTCATTGCTTGTTTACATTTTACCCCTTTGCTTTATCATGTAATCTCCAGCTACCCAGACACACACACACAGATAAATACACAAACACAGACACACACATGAAAAACTGTGAGTTCATACTGATGCACTCACTTCTTGTCCAGCAACCTAGTTTGGTTAAACCAAACTTCTAGACTTCTACTTTCCATGTATGTATGCTCCCCTCCAACAATGAAAAAATACTACCTCCTATTTTGTATTTATTTGCTCAGAGAAATCGTTTTAGAGTTGGTAACCCATACCACCTTAACAGGAAAACCTATTAATTGGTGTTCAATATGCCTTTACATTTCCTTAAGATAAAATTTAGTATAGAAAATGCACACATCTTAAGCGTGTGATTTGATGAGCTTTAACAAATACACTTATATGACCCACAGCCCAACTGTCTTGATAAGCCATACCATAGACGAGTTGGCTTACATATTAGACATTTATTTCTCATGTTCTGGAGGCTGGAAGTCCAAGATCAGAGTGCCAGTGGATTTGGTTCTTAGGAAGGTTCATCTTCCTGGTGTGCAGATGGCCATCTTCTTGCTGTGTCCTCATTAGAAAGGGAGAGTGCTCTAGTCTTGTTCTTCTTATAAGGTTGCTAATCACATTCTGGGGGCCCCACCATCATGGCCTCATCTAAACCTAATTACCTCCCCAAAGCCTTATCTCTAAATGCCAGCACCTTGGAGGTTATGGCTTCAGCAAATGAAGTTTGGAGAGACACAAACATTCAGTACATAACATCAGTCAAAGTAGAGACAATTTCTGTCATTTTAGAATATTCTCTAGAGCAACTGGGAACAGAATGGCTGGGTGATGAGAAAAGTGTATGCGCAACCAAACAAGAAATGGTCAGAACTTTCCTCACAGTTTTCCTATTTTTTATGTTCTCCCTAACAATAAAGAAGAGTGGTACTGTCGTTGTTTAAAGTTCATCCTTTAGAAGTGGAAGCATACAGCATATGTGTGTGTGTGTGTGTGTGTATAGAAAGAAAGAAAGTAACATTTGCTCAGTTGTGTCCAACTCTTCGCTACCACATGGACTGTAGCCTACCAGGCTCCTCCATCTATGGAATCTTCCAGGCAAGAGTACTGGAGTGGGTTGCCATTTCCTTCTCCAGAGGATCTTCCCAACCCAGGGATCAAACCTGAGTCTCCCACATTGCAGGCAGATGCTTTACCATCTGAGACACCAGGGGGCTATATATATATATAGCTGTATATATATATATCCACACACACACATATATATATATGCACACATATATATACACATAAGGATATGTATACATATATTCACATATCCTTTTTCAGTCTGGTCATTCTAATAGATATATAGTGGTATCTCTTGATTTTAATGCATTTTCCTGCAGACAATTGTGTTCAACTTGTTATCATTTATAAAACTTCACTTGAGAAGTGTCTAAGGCTTAGGTATTTTGCCTGTTTTTTAAATTGGGTTTTAATCTTTTATTGTTGAATTGTTTGGAGGTATTTATATATTCTGGATCCAAGTTGTTTGTCAGATCTATGTCTTGCAAGTATATTTTTTTCCAAGTCTGTGACTTGTCTGTTTCTTTTCTTCAGTTCAGTTGTTCAGTTCAGTCACTCAGTCGCATCTGACTCTTTGTGACCCCATGGACTGCAGCACACCAGGCTTCCCTGTCCATCACCAACTCCCAGAGCTTACTCAAACTCATGTCTATCAAGTCAGTGATGCCATCATCCAGCCATCTCATTCTCTGTCGTCCCCTTCTCCTCTTGCCTTCAGTCTTTCCCAGGATCAGGGTCTTTTCCAATGAGTCAGTTCCTTGCATCAGGTGGCCAAAGTATTGGAGTTTCAGCTTCAGCATCAGTCCTTCCAATGAATATTCAGGACTGATTTCCTTTAGGATGGACTGGTTGGATCAGTCCAAGGGACTCTCAAGAGTCTTTTCCAACACCACAGTTCAAAAGCGTCAATTCTTTGGCGCTCAGCTTTCTTTATAGTCCAACTCTCACATCCATACATGACTACTGGAAAAACCACAGCTTTGACTAGACGGACCTTTGTTGGCAAAGTAATGTCTCTGCTTTTTAATATGCTGTCTAGGTCGGTCATAACTTTTCTTCCAAGGAGTAAGCGTCTTTTAATTTCATGGCTGCAGTCACCATCTGCAGTGATTTTGGAGTCCCCCAAAATAAAGTCTGTCACTGTTTCCATTGTTTCCCCATTTATTTGCCATGAAGTGATGGGACCGGATGCGATAATCTTAGTTTTCTGAATGTTGAATTTTAAGCCAATTTTTTCACTCTCACTTTTTTACTGTGATTTCTTATTGGTCACTTAAAGTTTTTTTTTTTCTTATTTCATTGCACTGGATTTTAGTTGTGGCACACAGCATCTTCAATCTTTAATTGCAGCATGTGAATTCCCTGACCAGGGATTGAACCCCAACCCCCTTTATTGGAAGTGTCGAGTCTTAGCTACTGGACCACCAGGGAAGTCCTTTGATAACGTTTTTAATGTGGTAAAATACACAGAACATACAATCTACCATCTGAACCATTTTAAAATTCAGTGGCATTTAGTACATTCACAATATTGTGCAATGGTCACCACTGTCTAATTTCATTTTCATCAGTCCAAAAGGAAACCCAATACCCATTAAACTGTCATTCCACGTTCTCCCATTTTCCAGCCTCTGGCAATCATTAATCTACTATTGGTCCCCATGGATTTGACTATTTTGGATATTTCATGTTAACAAAATCATACAGTATGTGGTCTCTTGTGTCTAGCTCATTTCAATTACCATAACATTTTCAAGGTTCATCCACTCTGTAGAAATAAATTCACATCCATTCTGTGAATAAGGTCATGTCATCTGTAAACAGATGTGGTTTTACTTCTTTACTTTCTCTCTTTTTTTTACTTCTTTTCTAATCTGGATGCCTCTGCATCTTTTTCTTGCCTTGCTGTCCTGGCTAGGACCTCTAATACAATGTTGAACAGAAGTGGTAAGAACAGATACTCCTGTCTTGTTCCTGATCTTAGGAAAGAAAAGTTTTTAGTCTTTCACAATGAAATATTATGTTGCCTCTGGGTTTCTTATAGATGGCTTTTATCAGATTGAGGAATCACTTCCACTTCTAGTTGGTTGAGTGTTTTTATGAGGAAAGGGTATTGGATTTCGTTAATTTTTTTTTTTACATTCATTGAGCTTATTTTGTGTTTTCCCCTTTATTTTGTTAATATGGAACATTTCACAGGTTGATTTTTGTGTCCTGAACTAAGTTTGCATTCCTAGGATAAATCCCACCAGATCACAGCGTATAATCATCTTCGTCTGCTGCTAGATTCAGTTTTCTAATATTTTATTGAGGATTTTCCTTCTATTTTCATAAGGAATATTGGTCTGTAATTTTCTTTCCTTGTGATAGTTTGGTCTGGCTTTGGTATCTGCAAAATACTGGCCTCACAGAATGGCTTGGGAAGTGTTCTCTCTCCTCTTTTATGGGAAGACTTTGGGAGAGATTGGTGTTAATTCTTTTTAAACATTTGGTGAAATTAAACAATGTAACCATCTTGTCCTGGGCTTTTCTGTGTTGAAACTGTTTTGATTAGTAACTCAATTTCTTGTTACATGTTTTTTCAGATTTGCTTTATCTTTTTTAGTCTCTCTTGGGAGTTTGTGCATTTCTAGGAATTTTTCCATTTCATCTAAGTTATCTAATTTGTTGTCATAGTATTTTCTTATAATCCTCTGTATTTTTGTAAGATCTGTATTAGTGTCTCTTCTTTTATTCCTGAGTTCAATAATTTGAGTCTTCTTCCTTTTTTCCTTCATCAGTCTGGCTAAAGGTTTGTCAGTTTTGTTGATCATTTCAGTGACCAATTTTTGGCTTTGTTCATTTTCTCTATTGACTTTCTTGTCTCTGTTTCATGTATTTCCATGCTAATATTTATTATTTCCTTCCTCCTGAGTCCTTTGGGTTTGGTTTGCTCTTTCTCCCCCTAGTTTCTTTTTTCCTTTTCGGGCCGGGCTGCGTGGCATGCAGGATCTTAGTTCCCCAACAAGGGATCCTACCCACACCCCACTCCAGTGGAAGCTTGGTGTCTTAACCACTGGACTGCCAGGGAAGTGCCCTCCACCCATTTCTTAATGTAGAATACTAGGTTGTTGATTTGAGATCTTTTCTCCTTTTTAATTTAGGCATTTATAGCTGTAAATTTCCCTCATTTATAGCACTACTTTTGCTCCATCTCCAAAGTTTTGGTATGTTGTTTTTGTTTTCATTAATCTCACAACATTTTCT